TTGCAGAATGTAACGATGCTTCCCACCTCATTGTGACACATTTCTGTGACACTCTTATAATTGTGTTATGTTTTTCTGTGGTTTCTGGGAAAGAGTAAATTATTTTTCTTTTTGCCGATTTTTTCAGGCTTTTTCTTGAACATACTGTATTTTTTCTTGGTGTTCAAAAATTCAAGGAATTTTCTTGGTTTAATCTACTTAGAATTTAAATAGAGGAGATTAAGGGGAACTTAACTATGGAAGTGTTTAGGGTGCCTTGCTGGCATTGCAGAACCCAGAGGTCTAATTTAGGCATTTAGACTTCTTGAATAAATTATGGGATAAGTTGTATGTCTGATTACAGTAGTTACACACTATCTGCAGTATGAATAACATAAATCAGGCATCCAAACCCGAATGGACAAAGGCATATTGTAATATTAAACACTGTAGCTTGGTAGGTCAAGCTTGGTCTTGCAAAGATGAGTGTGGAAATCCTTTCTTTAAAAAGCATATCACAATTTAATCCTTTCTTTCAAAATCATGATAGTAGCAGTGGCTGCTTCCTTTTGATCTAAAATGTAGGGTTAGAATACAGGTCTTGGCTGTAGAATATCAATTAAATTTCTTTTTCTGACTGAGGAATGGTGAGATGATAAACATTTAAGTTAGTTGGAAGTATTGCTATTCAGGTCTTTCTGTTCTTATGTATTCTACCAATTAGAATAAAAAGCTGTGCTCTCTTTAATACTTTCTGTCAGGCCTACTGAATCTTTAAATATTTTATGCAAAAAGGAAAAGCTTCAACAGAGAGAGATGAAAAGAGCTGCCTGCAGCAAGGTTCCCAAACTCACCAGTACAGCTGTGGGTGCATTGCATCACCCTGAGACTGCAACAGCTTTGGGAACCAAACCCCAGGAACTTCTCCATCATGGGCTCTGCTCACAGTGGAGGCTGGAAGCTCACCAGTCTGCCAAGGTGTGGGAAATGTGAATTTGAGTCCTGGCAGGTGGAGGCAAAGATTGAATCATGTTCTGCTAGTTAGAGATGGGAATTTTGGGCTGCTGGATAAAAGTCAAACTCTGTCTCTATGCAGAGCCTGGTTGGTACATGGAAATAACAGAGGCAGAGGAACACTTGGTGTAAGAGTTTATGTTTGCACCGTGTCCTTTTAGGACTTCTGTATGAGATAAGCCTGAAGGTGCTTAGCTCTGTCAAGAGAAAAAATTGCTGGACATAACCAGTGAGACTAGAGAACCGTGCTCACAAAAATACCTTTGTGATTTGCAGGTGTCGTTATAATTTGTAGTGAGGCTTAAAGACCAGTTTTCATTACTTGAAAAAAACAGGGAATCCTCAAGATTTGAGATAAGAACGATAAATCTGAAGCAAAGTACAGGTTCATCATAATAGCTTTGACTTCAATTACATTGCCTCATTAAACTGTTTCACAAAAGCATGATTGTTATTTACTTGGTACAGTATGACATAATGAAGCTCAGTGGTATTAAAAGTATTTTTACATGTTTATTTCTAGATAAGACTATTCCAACAGTGTTTTTTCTAGTTTTCTTGAGATCTCTAGTCAGGTCTTAGAAATTAAGTATAAGTGGCAAGTGTTGCATGAACTTGGAAAATATCTTGCCTTTCTAGGATAGTTGCTGATTTAAAAGTGAAGTCTAAAAAATGGATGAGAAGCTAAAAAAGCTCGCCTGCACCTTCAGGGGGAAAAGGATATTTTCTTTGAAATTATACAGAAGAGAGGAAATTTTAACTGAAAAAGTAGTTTAGTCATGATACCACCTAGTAAAGAATATTGTTCTATTATTCTGAGAATCATTAAAAAAATTGGAAAGCAGAAAAAAGAATCCATTTTGCATACATTTTGCATGTTGGAAAAGAGTGGGTGTCAAAAGCACAGAATAATTTTCTGTGGTGTGTTTTCCAGTTACCTTTCACATAATAAAGTTTGTTCTCGACTGAGCAGCAGTTCAGAGAACAGTGGGAGTTATTCATAAGCTCAGCTCTAACTTTTCCTCTAACCCCACCTCTTCATTTTTCCTGGGAAACTGAATTACAGGCAGTTGCTGACCAATTGTCAGATATTCCAAACTCCCCTGTCTTTATTTCACAGACTGATAGATATCAATAAATCCTGTTTGTCACTGTTTTTTTTTTTTTCCACATAATTTCAATAATATAATAGATTTTGGTTCAGTGACCCAAAAGTTCCACGGAGGCATTTCCATATTTAGGGGAAATAATTTCTGTGGGTTTGTCTATGTAACCTGAAATGACATGTCACAGCAGATCAGATGGTAAAAATGTAAGAATTTGGTTGTGGTGATTTAGGCCATTGATGTTTATAAATAACCCAAGTTTGATTCCGAGACAACATTGAGTAGAGGAAATAATTTCATTTAATAGATGATGTGTTTGTTCAGAAGAAGCTCTTTTCTCGCCTGGGAGAAAGGAAATGCTGAAGTAGCAGTATGTGGAGAGCCAGGTGGAAGCATGTGGGAATTTGTTTGTTAGCTGGAGGAACAACACACAGCTGGGCTGTGAATAAGTAGGGCTTCTCAAATACAAATGGAATTAACTCATGTATGGAATTGTAAAGTTATATCTAGTGGGGCTATTGTTTAATTTTAGCAAAGTTTGAGGACATTCTCTCACTACTGCTGTTGTAGTCCTACTGATTTTATTGGTGCAGGTGAGGCAAATGCTTTAATGAGTGCAGTAGGTTTTCTCTTACAGCTCAACCAACACACCTTAATCAAACAGGTGCAGTAGTTTTGATTGCCTACCTGTAGTGCCTCAGTTTCAAAGTTTGGACGTGGTTCTGACATTTTCACTGTAATTTCTCCAAATCACAGTCAATAACTGAAAGCTGAGATCTTTAATTAAAAAGAGAGTGATCTCTGAAAACATTTTGGAAATCCATATTAATTCCCTTCAGATTTTTTTTTATCTCTTATTTGAACATAAATCTGAGCATCCACCAATATATAAACACAATGTACCTTTTAGAACAGAGTAATTACTTGTTCTCTCACCTAATACACCTGTGCTATGTTGTCACACAGATTTTATAATCTGAAGTGTAGTTTTAGTTTAACCAAATTACTAACTGCCAGGTATTGTGTTAGTGAAATAGAAGAAAAGGCAATTACAGCATCTTTAACCAACCACAGAGCTTTGCATTTAAGCTGATTTCAGTTTATGCTGATGCTGTAGAGGATGGTTGCATTTTCTTCTCTGCCAGCACCTGTCACCCCTGCTTTGCACCACAATCAACACTGATGTGGCCACACTGTCAACTCAATTGGAGATCTGGCTGCAAAGACTCTTTTGTTTGGTTTTTGCTGGGGCTGATTTTCAGTCATCAGGTGAAGTTTTGATGCTGTTGTCAGTGCCAACCACCTAAGGAAGGACAAATAGCGAGACTGTTCCCTTTAGTGGCAGTGTGGTCTTAGGTGAGCTGACAATGGAACAGCAACTTTGGTTGGGAAAAGCTGCTCTTAGGCCAGAACACAAATGGAGGGAAAGCACTTGGTCTAAAATACTGACTTCTGCAAAGAAAATGGGTTTGAACTCCCTTTATGCACCATTCTGTACAACCAAACTAACCTTTTGTGTTTCTAAAACAGATTAAAGTAGGTAAGTCTGCTGTAAATACTATTTGCTGTCATTTTGTGGAATTACAGAGTGCTTGAGCTTGGTGGGAGGTCAGCTGGTCCAACCTCTCTGTTCAAGCAAGGCCACTTAGGGCCACATCCAGACAGCTTTTTAACATCTTCAAGGCATTTTATGTAAGAATTGTGATAAATATATTCTTGAAGTAGTGCTTAAAACCAAATCTTCTTAGTTTCTCTTTTTACAAATACTTGAGTAAAATGAAGTACTTGGATTTATAGAAAATATTAGTTTTGCACCATCTTTACATTTTAGACCTCATCAATGTGTCTGTGCATCAAGCTTTGTCATGGAATAGAATTTATTCTAGTACTTTAGGCTAGTGAATAGTGGAAGTAGCTGTATTGCAGACATATATATTTGTAATATAAATGTAGACCCCAGGGATCAGTGCATCTGACTTATTCACCCTCACTCAGACTGAAGTGTAAGCATGTCTGCCTCACTTAAGGGAGATGTGTCACTCAGTGTGCATCTCGTTCCTGGTAATCAAATGCAGTGTTTGTACTTCTCTGTTATTGGCTTGATACTTCTGTCTTGCAGAGAAGAAAAAAATTATCTAATATAAAACAAGGACTTTTTTGTGGGTGAACTGTGCTTTTCCTGTATTCTCCCATTATATTAACCCACTGTATTCAGTCATTGAGACAGGATTTATTGTCTTGCACAGCAAATTACAGCTGATCATTTGATATTCCTGTTTGTGAGGTGGTAATTTCTCTTCTGTGCTAAAATCCTCATGCATTAAATTTTATGATATGACCTTTTTCCCTATGCAGCATTTCTATTGCAGCATATCCAGTTTTCTATAGCTGTGTTTCTTCATTACATGCTGAAGCCTCTTCTCTAAGTCAAATGGAAAATCTGTGCTAGATGTAGAGTTAGTGTGAAGACCTTCACAGTTTTGTGAGTGACATGTAAATTCTAATAGCACTGTGCCCCTCTGCTTTGCCAAGATAGTAATTCTGGGTCTTCTGCAGAATTGTTCTACAGGGCAGGTGAACATTTGGAAGGGTAATGACACAAGTTGCTGGAAGCTGTGACATTTCCCTGTTTGAAACAGTCACACTCTTAAGTTGATGCAAGTGGAAGAGTCACTCAAGCAAGAGTCTTCTGAGTGTTAAGCAACCTCTGCCAGGCATAAGAGGGACTGGAACTTTCTGTAGTATAACCCAGTTCCACCTCAATTCTGGTTAAAAAGCCCCGGTGTTGGTCTCTTGGCATTGTGGTTTCCTCTTCGTTGGTGGTCTGATGTTGCTCATACGGTTTTCTTGATTTCTCCAGTGGAGAGGGAATCCTCTGATTTTACTGATTTGTTCTTTCAGCACATGCAGATGACTATCCAGGCTCTCCAAGACGAGCTGCGGATCCAGCGGGACCTGAACCAGTTGTTCCAGCAGGACAGCAGCAGCAGGACCAGCGAGCCCTTCGTGGCAGAGCTGACAGAGGAGAACTTCCAGCGGCTGCACACAGAGCACGAGCGCCAGGCCAAGGAGCTCTTCCTGCTCCGGAAAACCTTGGAGGAGATGGAGCTAAGGATTGAGACCCAGAAACAGACCTTAAATGCACGTGATGAGTCCATCAAAAAGCTGCTGGAGATGCTGCAGAGTAAAGGTCTGTCAGCAAAAGCCACTGAGGAAGACCACGAGCGGACACGACGGTTGGCTGAGGCAGAGATGCACGTGCACCACTTGGAAAGCCTTCTTGAACAGAAGGAAAAGGAAAACAATGTGCTGAGAGAGGTGAGTGACCAAACTCAGCATTCATCTCCAGTCTTAAACTCTTCTCTGTCTCCTATCCGTTTCACAGTTGTAAAGAAAGAATCTCCCATTTTCTCTATAAGCTGTGTTTTACATTAGATTCGACAAAATTGTTGCCTGTTTTAAAAGTTCTTTATGGCTTCCTTGCACGTACCTTTTGGCATTTTGTGCTGTGGGCGACACTTTCCATGTAGTCTCCATAGGAAGCTCTGGAGGTGAATTGTCCCAAAGCCTGTAAAATGAATTCTTCTGTTCTGTTGTAGTTAGAGAGAAAGCAGCTACCTGTATTGAGGTGAGAGTGATGCCTAGAAAGCTAAAACCCAAGGCATCATGAGCAGAGAGAGAAATCTTTTGCAAGAGTAATGGATGATTGCTCTACAGTTCCCATGGAAACAGTCATCTTGCTGTGAAGGGTATTTGATAAAACTATTAGCTGCCCTGGATGCACAGCCAAAAAAAAAAAGATTTCTTAAAGGGACACTGCTGCACACATAGTAACTCCTTCTCACCATGCTTCTGAAAACAGAAAAACTATTGTTATGTCTGTATTGTACCTTAAGAGTCCAATGGCAGGCATTCTTCACTAGTAATCATTTTAAACTTATTATAACAAAATGTAGTCTATATAGAATACCAATATTTTAGTAAAACGAAGGAAAATAAATGAAAGAAAATGAGTTACTGTGTAGCCAGTGTTGTGACTTTTTTTGATATTATTAAATGCATTTTCCTCTTCTCAGTCTCCTAAAGTATTCTAATATTCTAAAAGGCTTGTAATTCAGCATGGATTGTGTAGATGCACAGATAAATATGTGTATTCATGGATTCACTAGTGCTAAGATTCTGTGTAAAGATTATTTTACATCTGTCGACTGAAGGCATGAATTGACAGCTATCCATGTGTATCATGTGTATGAATCTGATGTTCTGTTCTGCACATTGGTGTCTGTGTCATGGTTCAGCATTTGGAAAGCTCTATGTGTGCACAGGATTTCAGGTCCTTCTCTTAAGAAGTCAGGAAAGCAAGGCCTGGAAGAATTTTTTGAGATGAGTGTATGGAGCACATAAATACATCTTAATACCTCTTATTCATATGTTTTCCAGGGCCTGACCCATAGTGCTTGTGGCAAGCATTTATATAAGAAAGCTGGAGCCCATTGCATTTCTGAGCCAGGATTTAGGCCAGATTTATTTTTTTAGAGCAGTAATCTCTTGAGTGTCTGGAGTGAAGATAATATGATTCCAGAGTTTCTGCACTACAGTTTTCCCTTTATTTAGCAACCAATGATAATTCTGTTCCAATTCTTGTAACTATTTCAGGAAGAGCCTCAAATGGCTTCCATTTGTTTCTTCTTCAAGTCCAGCAACATAAATGAAAAGCTGGCAGGAGCTGTGCAATTTTTTAGGAATGCGGTTGCATTTGTTCCTGCTGCTGATGAGTAAACGTTGCAAGATAAGAACTCTTGTTTCATTCATGTGTATTTGGAAATCATCAGTCATTTAAATCCCAGTCTTTATGGTAAAAGACTTCCTAGAGGAGGTAGAGATGACCTACCGACTTAGAAGTGCAAATGCCATTTATCAAATGTTTTAAAATGAATTACTCCTTGCAGCTTACCTGGCCCTGATTCATTGAGAAGTGTAAGCTGGGTATAATGTCATTTGTAGCTCAAGCCATGGATGTGATGTGGGATCCAGCCATGAAGCTGAGCACCCTCAGAAACATGGTGTCATATTAACTCCTTATGGAACTGGGTGACAACAGGGATGGTTTTGTTTTTACCCATGTGTTGTCCTTAAGCTCTGAGCAAGGCTGAGCTAAGTGACCTCGGATTTACCTGCATCAAACTCAAGTCTCACGCCTGGGGCTCTGGCAGGCTAGAGAAAATTGGAGGAACTTGCAGTTGACTGCATCTGACTGCCTGGGCACTCAGATGCTCTGCAGGATGTGGTTCACAGCTGTTATCCATGTTTCACACTTGGAAGTTGTCTCTCTTAGGTGTGCCACCTCTTAGTGTGTCTGCATCACCCTCCTCAGCTGACCTTCTGTTATGTTCATCTGTATTTCCATAGTTGTAGGTTATTTTAGTCCTTTGCTACCCCAGATACTAATGGTGGAATTTTTGAGCTGCCTTGAAGAAATGCATCTATTTTCTTGATGGTTCTATATCTAGTGTTCCCAGTATCTGGAAAGGCATGCTAAACTCTTCTCTAAATAAAGCCGTGCTAAACTCTTCCTTCTTTGCTGTTAAAGGAAGCATTAGTATCTCAAAGGGATTCACAGGAGCTTGGGAGGTCAGTTTATATTTCATGTCCTAACACATTAAAAAATTTTAATAACAGTCTTGACCATCTTAGCAAAAGAAGTTCTGAGATTTCAGAATCCCCCCGTGCTGTTTCTGACTCTGCAAGGGTGTTATATTTCTGATAGAATATTTGCTGGAAATAATCTAAAAATCTACATCTTGAAGCAAAAAGGTATCCCTCAGTTTTTTTCCAACTTTGAAACCTACATATAATTCAAAGCGTGATGTTGAGGCTCAAGGTCATCAGACAGTGCAGTTACAGTGGTCAGCAGTATGACCTTGAAAATTAAACATTAATTAATTTATTTCTTAAGCTTTTGCTATTGCCTGTATTGTAGTAAAGATTGCACGAATTTCCTAAGGAAAATAAATTCTAAGAGAGGATAGAGTTGTGGTTCTGGTAAGATTATAACTGTGTGCCACTCACTGTTTTAGGTTGTTATAGCCATTCCAGGTTATCCCTTTTTCTAGGCTGAAAACTCCAGTGCTGCTTAGTTGTTCCTCATATAACAGGCATCACGTATTTTTGATCATATCCCAGGGCACTATCTGTCTCCCAAATCCAGATTATGAAATGGATTCTCTGCAGCTGCTGAGAGGTATCTCCATAGGCAATTTGAGTGTCTTGGGCTTTTCCCTGTTGCCCTGACTTCTGAGAATCTCAAGAAATTACTCACATAAGTCTATGGGAAAGTTACTATATCCAGCATAGGATGTATTCAGCAACTGATACAGAGGACATTCTCTCATTAAAAGAAATAATTAAAACTTAAATGTCTCACTGAACATCAGAATGCTGTGACTTCAGCAGATAATAGTGTGGCTGCATCACATTCCTTTACCCTGGAAAACAAGCTTAAGCTTCATAGCTTATCAAAAGATGGCTGCTATTTTGAATACTCCTTCTTCAGTCTTAGTGACAATTATTGTTGCTGGTATTCTAGACTTAACTTTCAAAAACAAAATTATTTTCATACCAGGAAGGCATACTTGATGAAATCCAGCAGCTGGACTACAGCTTCCAGAATAGCTCCCAAGTTGAATTAACTGCTGCCTCTTTGTTCCAGACTTGGCTGTTGCAGAATTATCAGTGATGGTCCATAGCTCCAAAGATAACCAAGTTTGCTTTGTTTTTTGACAGCCTCCCTTCTCCCCACCCCCCAAAGTGCTAGATCCACTGATTAGAAATGCATTTTTCTCAGCTACACAGATTAATAGCCCAAATATCAGTGCAATTTATGGCAGAATATGATGTGACTGCATCCATACCTGGTGTTCCAAACACTTGGACTACTGTGGGCAGATAAGATTTGTAAGGACAGTCCAAGAGGGACTGTAAGTATAGATGGCTGACCACAACCATTTATTTGGAAACAGAAAGAAGGCTGTTTATCCTGAAGATTTTTTGGTCAGAAGGCAATTCTAGAGTTAAGGCTTTCACGTTACAGTAGTGTGGAATGAGGGAAGAACTGACAGGACCTTTATACTTTGTGTCTAGAAACTGTTAGATAGTAAATTACAGTTTTGACTTTAATTTTTATTTATGTTTTTTTAATTGGGCCTGTTCAAACAAGATGGATTTTTATTCCAGTTGAGTACAAAAATGAATGAAGGAGTTAGGGATGGAGTGCTTAACAAATGAAGGGAGGTTTTGTATGTAAAACAGGCACTGAAATGGGTGATTCAAGAGGGCACTCATTCACATTGAGCTTAAGGAAATAGGCTGTGGCAGAAAAATCCATTATTTCTTTCCTTTTTCAGTGTTTGTTGAAATGGCAACCCCACAAAGTGCTGTTTGTGAACAGCACCACAGTTTTCTGGGATGCCCTTAGTGCACGGAGCGACCCCTTTGTGGCTCTTTGGAGTCAAACAGTGCCCACTTTATCGTGGCAGCTGGCACTAAATGTGTGTGAGCACTCCTTACTCGGTGTCCCCATGGGCCAGAGCAGCAGGCAGGCACACCAGGCTAGCACACTTGGCCTTAGATTAGCCAAACTTGATCCTGGGCTGGCCCAAGAGCAGCAGCAAGGAGCTGAGTGAGAAGGGAGGGATGAGAACCTAAATGAGCTGTGCCCAGTGCTGAGAGCTCGGCTCCCTTGTCTGGCCGGATTTTAATGAGCCCTGACAAGTTTTGCAACCAAATTGTTTTTCCATGGGTGTGTTAAAATTCCTACCCTTTTCTGCTCCATGCTTAGAGGAGGATTTAAAAATTTTAATTGGAGCAATTAGAGTTAACTCAAAAGAACGCTTTTGTCCCATGCCAAGATTTTGCAACATAAATAAGATTTCATAAATAAGACTTCAAGAGAAAAGTTTTGTGTTGCAGGAGTAGATAGATTCAGTAACTGAAACTCTTACTGCCATCATAATAGGGAATATCTTTCTGATGAGATAAAAAATGAAGTTTCTGCTTTTTATTGCTGCTTCATGCTTTTGACCTTTTAGAAGCAAATGGCAAAGGGAGAAGTCATTTAAATCAAGATAATTTAAATAATTATGTCTTTATTAAAATTGCTTATTTGGTCTGCAGGTAGTTTTAAAACATACAGAGGTTTTGGAGGTCAAAATTTAAGAAAACAACTATTGCATCTTGAAAGGATGCATAATGTATTTTTTATGTATTTAATTTTTTTGAAACATCATTTTAGTTAGGAATATTCTATATGTCACCTTAGA